TCCCTTGCCATATAAACTTAGAAACGTCACGTTGCCATTGTTTAAAGGGTGCCTCTGAAGTCAATATTGGAATTGTCTGGAAAAGATACAAAATTTGCGGCTTGATTGCCTGCTGAGTATTGCACTTCATTTTGTTTCTTAATTAGTATGATTACTAACTTCTCTTCTTGGGACTTCTACATTCTTCTCACTTTGTCTTTGAAACACCACACTAATGGTTTGAGCTCTGCTGCATCCCCTTACAGTTTTCTCACCATTCACTCCTGCACACCACTGCAAAATTTTCATTCTTCTCATCACTGCTACTGGAGTTCTCAGAATGGAGGTTTATAAATGAAAGAAATTATGTACCAGTATTTAATAAACTATGGTTTATGGTTTATGCCTTAGTGTGTAAGTGTAATTCTAGCCAACTATTCAATAAGCCATGGGTAAAAAAAACTGGTTTTTGTTTGTTATGAAAAACACATGATAAGCTTCTTAGCTTGTTGAGTTGTACTATTCTCTGAATAATAATTAAAAAGCATCTTCACTTTTGTGCAATGAGAATATCTGCTCTTTAAACTTCTTGCTGACTATTTGACAAAAGCAGCCTAGGACCCAAGTCAAGCAATTTATAAATCATCTTGTCAAATGATTTACTTTTGATTATTATAGCCTTGCAGATAGTCATCTCTAACTATCAGTGTTATAAAGGCTGGAGTTCAACTCTCATAATCTCTGATAAAACAACATTTGAAAGGTCACAAGTCTCCTATCCCTGATTCAAGAATGTTTAATGATGCAATAATTGATTAGAGCTATAATATCTAGGGTCATGAAGTTTATAAGTAGGAGGGAGAAAGACTTTATTCAGCATTGATTAGCAATTGATTATATGCCATCAAGTTGTTGTTGTCTTTTAACAACCACATAGATAGACTTTTTCCATAATGACCAGCATATTTAATTTTAATGCTAATGTTGCAAAGTCCATGGGCAAGGACCAGGTGAAATGCTTCATACAAAAGCCTTATTAGAATCTAAGAGACAAGTTAGCTAAACTGTAACATTAATTTAAAGAAGATTACAGCATCATTAGTAGAGCCTAGATCAGGGTTCCCCAAAATGGTCAATATCAACCCTGAAGGGTTGATGGGACTATCCAAAGAGTCAGTAAATGGCTGTGGATCAATTGGTGGTTGATAAATGATGGAAGGTTAATTGGGGTCAGATAATCTTTTGGGGTCTCTGTAGAGCTCCACACCTAGTCCTGAAGGTGAGGTGGCTAGTGGCAAGACAGTGTCACCCAAGGTTGAATGACCAGACACTAATGAGAGCAGCCTTGAGTTGTCTCTATCGGCTCTATGTTGTTACTGACCTCTTTTATTGATTGTTGTTGTTCTTGTTATTCATAGTACTATTAGTTTAAGTGTAGTTATTAAATAATTTTCACATAATAAATGTTTGGGGTTGACGAACACTTGGAAACTTCATGAAAGGGTTGATGAGCTGAATAGTTTGGGGACTAGTCTAGCTGATGTCATTTCACCAATCAATAAAAAGAGATGGGGTTTTCCAGGAAACATTATCTGAGCCACTCTCTCTCACTGAGCAAATAATGTCTGAAAAGATGTCTATTCTGATAGACTTAGGAAAAAAAAATTAATGTTCAAAATGTTATTCCCCTTTCCAGGAAACAGTCATTGAAAATGGTACAACCATTTATTCGAACTGGATCGTTCCTGGGAGTCCAGTCTACAGACAGTTTTGGTTCTTTGATGTACAGAACCCAGAGGATGTGATGGAGAATGGTTCAGCTCCAATACTTCAGCAGAAGGGCCCGTACACTTACATGTAGGTCAAGACCTGAGAATGATCATGTCTTGGGGACTTGGAAGAGGGAATAGAGAACAAACTGAGATACTTCATTGATTTGGGACAGGAGATTGAGTCCAACCCCTTATGCTGTGCAAGAATCCAGAATAGGATAATCTCCTCCTCCTCCTCCTCCTCCTCCTCCTCCTTGTTGTTGTTGTTGTTGTTGTTGTTATTATTATTAGCATCCTGCACCAATAGAAGCTACAAATGGCCATGGGAAATGGATAACTTCATCACAAGGCACTAACTCACCTGTTGCCTGCTTAGTAGCAGGGGATTATAGAAGTATAGTTTCACTCCCAACATCTGTAGGGGACCAAATTACCAGTTGTTAGATTGTACTCCAAAACCTCCACATGCAAATCATATTTTGAATGCTCCATTGTTGTCCATGAGCACTACTCTCTAGAGCAGGATGACCAGTGGGGCTTATTCATCTAGCTTCTGCAAACTAGTTTTGTTTTATCTTGATCTCTGTGGGGATATTATCTATGAGTCTGGCTGTCTTGGCCCAATGTAAACTATTTGCCTGGGGTTGAATTGTATCCTCAGGCTATTAACAATAGAAAGCTTCGTTCAAGCTCCTAGGTAGGGGTGTGTGTGTGTGTGTGTGTGTGTGTGTGTAGTTTGTCAGCTCTAGTTACTTTGGATTTAACTGAAGTGGAATCTCTTGTTCTTCGAGGGTGCGATATCTACCCAAAGAAAACATCACTGAACATGAAGATGCCACAGTGTCTTACCTCCTGCCAAATATTGCTCTCTTTCAACCTGATATGTCAGTTGGGTCAGAAAATGACACTTTCACCATTGTCAACCTTGCTGTTGTGGTAAGGAAGCCCTCCTATCAAATTTATATCATCTGAATATTAAATTGTAATAATAAATCAGTAAAAGATTGAGTTTGGGTATTGTCAGTCCTGTGGAATGATGTTCTCTGTTATCCATTGCTTCAGTGTTGTGGATGAATGGAATAGACTCCCCAGAAATGCCGCATTACCAACTGCTGGTAATTTGTCAATACTAAGGGATGCTGGGAGATGTAGATCAGCAAAACCTGGAAATCCATATATTTTTAATTTTTACTGTATCGTTTCTCTATCTTAACTTTCCACTAAAAGTTCCACATCTACCAGAAAATCTGATATTAGTCTTTCATTGTTATTGTTCTCTTCATCACCTTCTGACTTTTTACCTGAAATTATTTTTTTCCCAAAGCTTTAAAACTAATTTTATCTCCTGTATTCTACCGAAGGAATCATGAGGAAAGTGTCTGCTATGATGGTGAAGATACATATCCACTGCAAACATATTAATTATTTCATTGTGCTGCATGTCTCATTACATTGATCTTAATCAAATTCTTCAGCATGTGCTAAGGTTCAAAACTTTAAAATATTCTGTGATTTGATCGCATATAAGATTTAATTCTAGCCTGTTATAAAAGTTTGTTGTTGGTTTTCATCCCACTATCAAAAGTTTAAGTTATAGATGTATTTATATTTTCTGCAGGCTGCACCTACTTTGTTTCCATCTATGGTTCAAATAATGGATCTCCTCATGCAATCTTCAAAATCAAAATTCCTCCAAACTAGAACTGTGAAAGAAATACTTTGGGGCTATGAAGATCCTTTCTTGAAACTAATTAAAATACCAAGCATTGATAAAGTTGTCGGAGTGTTCTATCCCGTAAGTATGCATTCAAAGGGAAGATTAACTACTTGTGGCATGTTTCTAAGAAACGGGTGCATGCTGATATAATAAATGCATCCTTAAAATTCAGAAAGTTCGAAACATTAAAATTAGGATAGCCTTTGGCATATATTTGTCAGGATCTTCTTTCTCATGGGAAAGGAGTCATCCCATTATCTTTACAACAATAACAAATAATATTTTGGCTACAGAGATCGTGTGAGAAACACCTGTTATTGTGTGTTGTGTATTGTGCTATTTACTGCCACCTATTGGTGTGTGTCTGCTTGTTACCCAGTGGGGGGGGGATGGAGCTATAATATTATGAAAAGGAATTGTTTAGGCTCTCAGTGTCTCAGTGTGTGTGTGTGTGTATGTGTGTATGTGTGTATAGCTTTAGCTCAGTATAGCACCATGTAATCATTTTTATGGACTATGTAGTTGTAACAAAGTACCAAGTAGTGTACCTCTTCTCTGAGAGTTTGTAGCTAGAGATTTTGTTAAGCTTGTGTTGCTAATAAGTCTTGGATG